TTATGATTTTGTTTTTGTGACAATTAGTCCTATTGGTTTCTGAGAATCACATATAGGGGCAGATTATTTAACTAATTATCACATGGATTCCTTTCCTATGAAATGTGTAACTTATTTTCAGAAAAAATAAGCAATTTATTTTTCTAAAGATGTATTTGTTTTATGCCAACTCTATTCATAATAGCAAAATATAGGACTAACTCAAATGTCCTTCAACTGGTGAATGAGGAAACTGTGGTACATCCATACAATGAAATGCTACACCATAATAAAAAGGAACAGAATACTAATACACACAAAAACATGAATAGATATGGAATGCATAAGAAGCCAGACTGAAAATGCTACACTTTGTAATGTTTCTACTTATATGACATTCTAGAAAAGGCAAAACTATAGTGACAAAAAGTGAACCATGGTTCCCAGGGCCTGGGGTGGAGAAAATGTTTACTCTAAAGAGCAATAAGGAAACATTTGGAGCTGATTAAATAGTCTTATATCATAATTTTGGTGGTGGTTACATGATAGTTTGTATTGGCCAAACTTATACAACTGTATCCTAAATGGGCAAATTTTATCATATGTAAATTATACTTCAATAAATCTAACTTTTAAAAAGGAAAAATTCATTAATATCACAAATTTTGAGTCTATATAAATTTATTCAATAATCTCTGAGATACATCAAGAAAGGAAAGAAAACTTTTTTTTGCTTTTTTCATTTGTAATTCACTTTTATCTTTGATGATCTTCCCCCACCAGTTCCTTCATACCATATTTTATGAAAACATTTTGCTTCTATATAAGGATTGCAGGTGGTTTGAACTCAAAAATGAGGAAGAAGGGCTTGGAGAAAGATGATTTTTATAGACTGAATGTTTGTGTCCTCCCAAATTTCATATATGGAGCTTGTAGTTCACTTAAATTTTTTTTTATTTTCTACTGGAGTAGAATTGATTAACAACTTTGTGTTATTTTCAGGTGTACAGCAAAGTGATTCAGTTATACATATACTTATATCTATTCTTTTTCAAATTCTTTTCTCATTTAGGTTATTGCAGAATATTAAGCAGAGTTCCCTGTGCTATACAGCCTTGTTGGTTATCCATTTTAAATATAACAGTGTATACATGTCAACCCCAAACTCTCATTTTGTCCCTCCCACCTGTGCCCCTGGTAACCATAAGTTCATTCTCTAAGTCTGTGAGTCTGTTTCTGTTTTGTAAATAAGTTTGTTTGTATCACTTAAAAATTTTTTTAACATATTTATTGGAGTATAATTGCTTTACAATGGTGTGTTAGGTTTCTGCTCTATAACAAAGTGAATCAGCTATACACATACACACGTTCCCATATCTCTTCCCTCTTGAGTCTCCCACCCTCCCACCCTCCCTATCCCACCCCTCTAGGTGGTAACAAAGCACCAAGCTGATCTCCCTGTGCTATGAGACTGCTTTCAACTAGCTATCTATTTTACCTTGGTAGTGTATATATGTCCATGCCACTCTCTCACTTTGTCACAGCTTACCCTTCCCCCTCCCCATATCCTCAAGTCCATTCCCTAGTAGGTCTGTGTCTTTATTCCTGTCTTACCCTTAGGTTCTTCATGACCTTTTTTTTTCTTCTTAGATTCCATATATATGTGTTATCATACGGTATTTGTTTTTCTCTTTCTGACTTACTTCACTCTGTATGACAGACTCTAGGTCCATCCACCTCACTACAAATAATTATTTGGTTTCTTTTTATGTCTGAGTAATATTCCATTGTATATATGTGCCACATCTTCTTTATCCATTCATCTGATGATGGACACTTAGGTTGCTTCCATCTCCTGGCCAACAAACACATGAAAGAATGCTCAACATCATTAATCATTAAAGAAATGCAAATCAAAACTACAATGAGATATCATCTCACACCGGTCAGAATGGCCATCAGCAAAAAATCTAGAAACAATAAATGCTGGAGAGGGTGTGGAGAAAAGGGAACACTCTTGCACTGCTGGTGGGAATGTAAATTGATACAGCCACTATGGAGAATAGTATGGAGGTTCCTTAAACAACTACAAATAGAACTACCATATGACCCAGCAATCCCACTACTGGGCATATACCCTGAGAAAACCATAATTCAAAAAGAGTCATGTACCAAAATGTTCATTGCAGCTCTATCACTTTTTTTAGATGCTGCATATAAGCGATATCATTTGATATTTGTCTTTCTTTGTCTGACATACTTCACTTAGTATGATAATCTCCAGGTCTATCCATGTTGATGCAAATGACATTATTTCATTCTTTTTAACAGCTGAGTAATATTCCATTGTATATATGTACCATACTTCTTTATCCATTCATCTGTCATTGGACATTTAGTTTGATTCCATGTCTTGGCTATTGTAAACAGTGCTGCCATGAATATTGTGTTGCATGTATCCTTTCACACCATGATTTTCTCTAGATATATGCCCAGGAGTGTTGCTGGATCATATGTTAGTTCTATTTTTAGTTTCTTAAGGAACTTCCATAATGTTCTCTATAGTGGCTTCACCAATTTACATTCCCACCACAAGTGGAGGAGAGTTCCCTTTTCTCCACACTCTCTCCAGCATTTATTGTTTGTAGACTTTTTGATGATGGCCATTCTGACCTGTGTGAGGTGATATCTCATTGTAGTTTTGATATGCATTTCTCTAATAATTAGTGATGTTGAGCATCTTTTCATTTGCCTGTTGGCTATTTGTATATCTTCTTTGGAGAAATGTCTATTTAGATCTTCTGTCCATTTTTTAATTGGGTTGTTTGTTTTTTGATATTGAGCTGCATGAGCTGTTTGTAAATTTTGGAGATTAATTCCTTGTTGCCCACTTCATTTGCAAATATTTTCTCCCATTCTGTGGGTTGGTGTTTCATTTTGTTTATGGCTTCTTTTGCTGTGTAAAAGCTTTTAAGTTTCATTAGGTCCCATTTTTTTGTTTTTGTTTTTATTTCCCTTACTCTAGGAAATAGATGGACAAAGATATTGTTGTGATTTATGTCATATAGTGCTCTGCCTATATTTTCCTCTAAGAGTTTTATAGTATCTGGTCTTACATATATGTCTTTGATCCACTTTGAGTTTATTTTTGTGTATGGTGTTAAAGAATGTTCTAATTTCATCCTTTTACATGTAGCTGTTCAGTTTTCCCAGCATCATTTATTGAAGAGACTGTCTTTTCTCCATTTTCTCTATAGTCTTGCCTCCTTAGTTGTAGATTAATTGACCATAGGTGCATGGATTTATTTCTGGGCTTTCTATCCTTTCCTATTGATCTATGTTTCTGTTTTTGTGCCAGTACTATCCTGTTTTGATGACTGTAGCTTTGTATTATAATCTGAAGTCACACAACCTGATTCCTCCAGCTCGATTTTTCTTTCTCAAGATTGCTTTGGCTATTTGAGGTCTTTTGTATCTTCATACAAATTTAAAAAAATTTTTTAAATATTGATTCTTCCAATCCAAGGACATGGTATATCTTTCCATCCGTTTGTGTCATCATCCATTTCTTTCATCAGCCTCTTATAGTTTTCTGAGTACAGGTGTTTTGCCTCCTTTGGTAGGTTTATTCCTAGGCATTTTATTCTTTTTGATAGGATGATAAGTGGGATTGTTTCTTTAATTTCTCTTTCTGATCTTTCATTCTTAGTGTATAGAAATGCAACAGATTTCTGTGTATTAATTTTGTATCCTGCAACATTACCAAATTCCTTGATGAACTCTATTAATTTACTGGTAGCATCTTTAGGATTTTCTATATATCTGATCATGTCATCTGTAAACAGTGACAGTTTTACTTCTTTTCCAGTTTGGATTCCCTTTATTTCCTTTTCTTCTATGATTGCCAGGGCTAGGACTTCCAAAACTATGTTGAATAAGAGTGGTGAGAGTGGTGGATATTCTTATCTTGTTCCTGGTCTTGGAGGAAATGCTTTCAGCTTTTCACCATTGAGTATGAAGTTAGCTGTAGGTTTGTCATATATGGCCTTTATTATGTTGAGGTAAGTTCCCTCTATGCCCACGTTCTGGAGAGTTATTATCACAAATCATTGTTGAATTTTGTCAAAAGCCTTTTCTGCATCTATTGAGATGATCATATGGTTTTTATTCCTTAATTTGTTAATATGGTGTATCACACTGATTGATTTGTGTATACTGAAGATTCTTTGCATTCCTTGGATATATCCCACTTGATCATGGTGTATGAGTCTTTCAATGTATTGTTGGATTTCCTTTGCTAGTATTTTGTAGATGATTTTCGCATCTATGTTCATCAGTGATATTGGCCTGTAATTTTCTTTTTTTGTGGTATCTTTTTATGGTTTTGGTGGCCTCCAGAATGAGTTTGGGAATGTTTCTTCCTCTGAGATTTTTTGGAATAGTTTCAGAAGGATAGGTGTTAACTGTTCTCTAAATGTTTGGTAGAATTTGCCTGTGATACTGTCTGTTCCTGGACTTTTGCTTGTTCGAAGTTTCTAAATCACAGTTAAGAAAGGAAAGGAACTCTTGATTCCATAATATGTTTAAAGAATTTTCTTCTTTTTAGAGCACCAATAACATTTCCCTATCTTTTGTTTTAAAAATGAAAATTATGTTTCTGGGGGAAAAAATCCACACTGAACAAGTGCCTTGTTTTTATTGTTATCTTAATTATGAATTCACCAAAATAATATCTAAAAATAACAGTATTTTTATTAAATACAAGCTTATTCAATGAGTTGATTGGTTATGATAATCATCTAGTCTTAAAAGAACACACTACTATTTCATTATTAGCAATTGCAAGATTATTATATTTTACCTCTCACAGTCTAGTAAGCAACTGAATAATTCAGAAGGACAACGAATAAACCCAGTGCTAGAAACTTTCACATAATGTAACTGATATTCATATACAAGAAACAAAATAACAGAATTAGAAATCATCCTGAGAAGGTTGTGTTAAACAACATATACCTTACCTCTGTGCTTGGGTGGCATAGCTATTGTCATAAGTCTCATATGTCTGGTCATCGTATTCACCCCCATAGCCATCATCATAACCCTGAGGCAGAAAATGGTAGAAAGATGGATTAGCAATCAATTTAAGTTACTATGATCTGTTTTTGATTAATGAGATTTTATATCACTCTTTTTTTTTTTTTTTTTGTGGTACGCGGGCCTCTCACTGTTGTGGCCTCTCCCATTGCGGAGCACAGGGTCCGGGCGTACAGGCTCAGTGGCCATGGCTCATGGGACCAGCCGCTCCGTGGCATGTGGTGTCTTCCCAGACTGGGGCACGAACCCGCGTCCCCTGCATCAGCAGGCAGACTCTCAACCACTGCGCCACCAGGGAAGCCCATTAATGAGATTTTATATAAGGTGACCTTAATTTAGTTTTTATGTATGGTTACTCTGCATCATATTTTACTAGATTAACAATTTCCATACAACATTGAATAAAATTTCATCTCTCAGATTTTAATATTTAATAATTAAACTCAGCATATCACTGAAGTCGTAATACCTACTCCTGGATTTATTTAGAATTTTGAGAAATACTAATGAAAACAATTTTAAAATTTCAAAATATATATTTTTTGAAAAACTATGAGTAGATAAGAATAATTATGATAACCTAATGGTGACACTAATCTATTTGTTACAACCCTACTGGGATTTTTTTCTTCCTTAATAATAATCAAAATCATAATTAGGATTGTAACTAAAATCTTGATTCCTCAGTAAAGAAGATGTAGTAATTATTGTTTGAAAAAAAAGAAAGGGATAATGTAAAGAAGAAAAGAAGGAAGAAAGAAAGAAAGGGGAAAAGGAAGGAAGAGAGGAAGAAAAAGGAACGGAAATAAAGACTTTTTACTTAGTTGTGCATTCTATGGCTTTTAAATCTCATGAATAAAATTATGTTGTGTGGTGGTTTAATTATCTGACTGAATTCATGCTAACAAAGTTAATGCAGATTTGTGATTTTAGAATGTGCAAGCAAGCTAGCAAATATACACTCCAGTTATACATTGCTCTATGAGTGACTTAGTTTTATTTCCCTTTGTGGTCATTAATTTTATTCTTTTGTTTGTTTGTTTGTTTTTTGTTTTTTTGTGGTACGCGGGCCTCTCACTGTTCTGGCCTCTCCCGTTGCAGAGCACAGGCTCTGGACGCGCAGGCTCAGCGGCCATGGCTCATCGGCCCAGCCGCTCCACGGCATGTGGGATCCTCCCGGACAAAGGCATGAACCAGTGTCCCCTGCATTGGCAGGCGGACTCTCAACCACTGCACCACCAGGGAAGCCCCGACTTTATTCTTAATCATAGTCATCCATCTTGATTACTCTCAACTTCTGAGAAAACCTTTAGCTCTTCTGCTTCTGGATCTTTGTTGCCATATTGCTTTCCTTGGAATGTACTTCCATCCCACCCTACAAATTCTGTAACTCCATTCCAATCTGGAGGCTTTCAAATCTCTCTCATTGTGTTCAGAAATTTAAACAGAAAAAAGTGCAGGTGTGAAAGTTTCCACATTAATTTTGACTAAGACTTTTGAGTCCATTTAATCTGAAGACTAATATTTTTCATCAACTTAAGGAAGTTTTAAAAATGTTACTTCTTTATTACTTCCACATCTGGTTTACCCATTATATAATGCTATTTTGAGATTTTGTCTAACCTCATTTTCTTGTATTTTTCCATTATTTCCATTTCATCATATTTTTGCTCTGCAGTATGGAACAGTTTCCCCATTTGATCTTTGAATGTTCTAATTAAGCTCCTATTGATGTTTTTAAAAATTAATCTAAAGTTAATTTTTGTATATGAAAATATTGCATAGGGATTATTTTAAAAGAGTACTGAAAGGTTTATGTCCAAAAATCAACAGCTACTTATCTTGTCCCTCTCCAACTTCCAGTTCTCATTTTGCATTTTTATCTATTATTTTATTAGTATTTAAGCATTTATTTTTGTGTTATTAAGTAATATGTTTAAATTTATGTTGTTTGATTTATGAATTTTAGTGGTCTTTCTATTGACTGGCAATTCATGTTGTGAAGGATTTAGTTCTATTGTAGACTCCTCCCAATATGTCTCCCTATAACTGTCTTCCTAATATAGTTTCATCATAATTTTTCATTAACTAGTAAATGTCTACCTTGTTACTGAGTAATAAATAATTATTATTCATAAATGATCCAAATAGATTAGTATAATTCTGTTTTATTTTCATCTTTTTGTTTCTCCTACAGTTAGTAATTGCTCATTCACTTTACTATTTTCTTGGTTTTCTATATTAGAATTATTTGTCTTCTATTGTCCCAATAGTTATCCTAATCTAACAATAATATTTCCCAATATTCCAAAATATCAGATAATCTCTCACTTCCTTTTGTGCTTCATAGAGACCAACTCCCACAGGACCAGATCATTGCAATGGTCTAGACTGCTGAACTCCTAGGCCTGAAGGCAGAGTAGTTTTTCTCAAACCTCCCACCCACCACTGTTTGTGTGGAATTCCCTTTTACCAAATTCCATCCTCTGCTTGTTCTCATTTCTTCCTGAAACATCTCTTTCAGTAAACTCTATTAAGAGGCATATTGGAGAGAAATATTTACATTCTCTCTCTCTCTCTGTCTCTCTCTCCTCTTTAGCTTCACTCTCCCTCCATACCTAGCTTCTATATTTTACTTTTTTGGGTGAAGAATTTAAATTATAGAGAAAAGTTAAATAATAGTACAATGAATTCAACTACTCTTCATCTAGATATGCCAATTTTGTCCCACCTACATTATCTCACTACATATATATGTGTGTGTGTGTGTGTGTATGTATAAATATTCTAAGCCGTGTGTAAGTCTGCTCCAGAAATATATTTCAGCACTAAATAGCTCAGCTTGCATCTCCTGAGTATAAGGATATGCTCCTACATAGATTATTATAGATATTATATAGATATATAGACATTATCTAGATATTATCTAGATTATTATATTATATAATATTATATATTATATAATATATAGATATTATATAGATATTATTACTCCCTCAAAAAATTCACAATAATTTCATAATATCATTCACTGCTAAGTCCATAATTAAAGTTCTGTTATTGTCAAAAACAGGATTTTTATAGCTTTTTAAAATTTATTTAATTTATTTATTTTTGACCGTGTTGGGTCTTCGTTGTTGCACACTGGCTGTCTCTGGATGTGGTGAGTGGGGGCTACTCTTGGTTGCGGTGCATGGACTTCTTACTGCAGTGGTTTCTCTTGTTGCGAAGCATGGGCTCTAGGTTCACGGGCTTCAGTGGTTGTAGCATGCGGGCTCCATAGTTGTGGCTCACAGCCTCTAGAGCACAGGCTCAGTAGTTGTGGTGAAGGGCTTCATTGCTCCGTGACATGTGGGATCTTCCTGGACCAGGGCTCGAACCTGTGTCCCCTGCATTGGCAGGCGGATTCTTAACCACTGAGCCACGAGGGAAGCCCCTATTTTGTTTTAAATCAGAATCCAATCAAGATTCATGAATTGCATTTAATCATTATATCTGTTTAGTCTTTTTGGAACTAGCATAGTCTTCCAGCCTTTTATTGCTTTTCATAACACTAACTTTTTGTGTAGTCTGGACCAGTCTTTTTGCAGACTGTCCCACATTCTGAATTTGTCTGATTATTCCCATAATTACACTCCCACTGAGTAGTTTTGAAAGAACACTACATATGTGATATTGTGTTGAACATTTACAAATTTAAAAATTCTAGTTCGACACGACTGATTTGTTGAGTATAAAAGTTGAGGCTGAAGATTATTTTCAATCAAAATTTTGAGGGCTTTGATTCAATGTTTTCTATCATTACATACCTGTGGTCTTGAGAATTCCTGCTACTTGTATGTGACCTAGTTTTGTTTTGTCTCATTTTATTTTTTCCGTTTCTAGATGTTTTTACATTTTTTCCCTGATGTTTTGAAATTTCCCAATGCTGTGTCCATGTGTGTGCATTTCCTTTTATTCCTTGTGCTGGGTACTTAATAAGCTCTCTTCATCTGGAAGCTTATACTCTCCAGTTCTGGGAAGAGCTTCATTTTTCTTCTCACTTTCTAGAACTCTCACTAGTGAGATGTTGGATCTTCTGGATTGGTGCATTAAATTTATCTTTATGTCCTATGTGATATCTCTTATTTTTTATTTTACTAATGAGGGAATTCTATAAATCCATCTTCCAACTATTCTATAAAATATCCACACATACATTCTAATAACTATTAGAGTGTGGAGAGGAGATTTCCTTATATCAGCATCCTATCCTCATCCCAAGGTCTCATCTCCTCTCGGGTAGAATAAGAGTTAACAATGCAGTTAGAATTCTCAGTGCTGCAACTGGCAGTGCCTGTTCCCAGCTCTCTTTCCTGGGCATCCACCTGGGTCTGTAACTGGGGAATTAATGATATTTGCCACACGTGTCTCTTTTCTAACACCCAGGCTATTGTTCTTCTTCCAAGTTTGGAAAAATTTAGCTTCATTCATCTCCACGCCCTACTCAGGACTCAAGAGCTCTAACTTCCAACAGGAGGCAAGCAAGTTTTGTTTTGTTTTGTTCCTTATGTGTTTTTTTTGTTTGTTTGTTTGTTTTTTGCTGTGTTTATGTTCTATAGCAAAGAGATAGAATAGCCATGAGTGGCAGGTGCAGGTCTTTGAGGCCTTCAGCCTCTTGAATTCCCTTCCTTTCTCCTATTTCTATCTGTTAAAATGCTACTGATTTCTAAAGGCCATTTACATTACATGATTTCAGGAAGATTTTCCTGCTTCTACCAAGCATAAGGTAACCCTCTGCCCTCTGAATTTAATAGCCTGTTGTTTTCTTCTCACTGTTGCCCAGAATGTCTAAACATATACCATATTTATTTTTCTATAATTTTCTCTTTTTAAATGTATGCTCCTGAAAAGCAAGTTAGTCCCTTTTTGGTGCCTTGTGGTACTTAGCATAGTGTATTCCATAGAGTATTCATTCAATAAATATGTATTGAATTGTTAAATTAGTACAAAGGAGACTATTCTCAT